AAAGAGTGACCGGTCTGGGGGAGGGGGGGCCGCAATGGTGTGGTTCTCAACCTGTGACACACAATAATAAACAGATTGAGAACCACTGTTCTATATCCACACAATCCTTGGGTTCTCTGCTTACCTCGCCAGCAAAAAGAGTGACCGGTCTGGGGGAGGGGGGGCCGCAATGGTGTGGTTCTCAACCTGTGACACACAATAATAAACAGATTGAGAACCACTGTTCTATATCCACACAATCCTTGGGTTCTCTGCTTACCTCGCCAGCAAAGGGATCATCTAGTTCCTCTGTCAAACTTTTTAAGACAGAGGAACACCAAACAATATTTTTTTTATGCGGGCCAAAGATTTTTTTGAGCACAAAAAAGTCGGCTGCTCCTCTATGGGCGGCCATTTTGAACTCTGTTACTCTCCGTGGTACACCTCCAACTGCCTCGCAGCACACCGGTATGCCATGGAACACAGTTTAAGAAACACTGAGCTAGTGAAAATGACACTGATAGCTCCCTCTATCCACCAACACAGGGGTTCTCAACATTATTCTCTCTCACTATTCCCACCCCTCCACTCCTCAATGTGCTACAAGAACTCCACAGCCCTCTTGTACCACAACAGTTATTTTCTCCACATAAAAACCAAGGCTGGCATTAGGGGATAGCAAGGAGAGCAATTATCAGGCGGTCGCATGTACCTAAGTCTCTCAGGCTTTGATTTCAGACACAGGTAGCAGGGCTAACCCTAACCCATTCCTGTAGTGGTTGTGTCCCATACATTTCCCCACAGAGAACTGCTTTTCTTTCAACATAACTTCCATTTCCTTTTTGTCTAGCATTGTGAAAATAGAAAGCACATCTGTAAAAGACAAGCTAACAGTAGGAAAATTGTACTGTGGGTATGTCACGTGTATGTGCTCATCCTACTTGGAGGTTGTGAGCTGAACTGTATTAATAACCAGAACATGGTTTAAGATCCACAGATGGAGGTGAGCACAGTTTTAGTCTTATAACGGGCCCTTACAATTATTCTCATT